TAAATTATATTATTTTTCATATGTTCAAATTGATCAAAGGCATAGTATTGTAAAAGCAAAGCACGAAAGAGTTGTGCGAACAACGTCTCAAATATTGAGAACGATTCGTTTATGTGAGAAATACAAGCTACTAAATGTTTCGAGCCAACCCTGCATTCCCGAATACATATGTGCAGACATCTTTCCAGCTAATACACTATCAATGAATCTAACGGGCTAGAAAGGTAACTCAGCTTCAGTATCAAATTCGTATTGAAATTTGAAGGCAGCGAATTACACTTACTCATCGTCTCTGCACTCGATCCCGGAAACATAAGCCAATCATCTACAAAGAGGGGTAGAGCTAAATCTACTCAGCAGTCCAGACATCAGTATAGAAGGTATAAATCTATTCATCCTCAAAGTCAGATTCTAGATCCGATTCCTCCTCTGCCTCATCATTATGGTCATCTTCTTCTTCGGACTCGTCGGACGATGGTTCTTCCGGTGCGGGTGGTGGCTCCACGGTGATCTAAAATAGAGCAAGACATACAATATACATCGTTGAGTATGGATGTATCATTGTGCGGGTGGTTCTATCTATATCAGACAACCAACTAGTTGGCCCACAACATATCGATAAATATAACATGGTGCGAATGGCGGCAATATAAAGCCTCAAGATGAGGCATTTTCGAACAATTAAAGTCAATTGGTGTGGGTGGCTGGTGGTCCTAAAGTACAATAGGAATAGACTAGAGAATGTATATAATACGGCGCTGGTAGTGGTTCTACCGTAACCTGCTGCTACAAAACTAAAGGTACTGACCAGCGCAATGTACCCGAAACTTCAGCGTAGTCTCCTCGGACACTCACTAAACACTATTGAACGCATCAACCAACATGCTAGAAATCTTGGAGCCCAATACTCAACCTACAAAATAAACTATACTTGATATTCCATAGAAAACAACAAACACTCTGCTGTCATGAAGGTTTACTTCCATATTCTAGGACACACAGCACATCATCCCACATGCGACGAAAACTGACGAAACCCTGCATACCTCCACTTCCTGAGTCTTGTTCGACCCTACGTACGAGTTCGAGAATAAGCACAGTGTGATGGTGTATTTACCCGCCTTTGGGAATGGGGGGATAACAATGTCCAGTGATTTGGTAGTAACAAGATCGTCCACCTTCACGGCATGTGTCAGCATCTGGTTACGGTTATCGGCCAGGAAAACCCACCAGCACTCTTGTACCTCCTAGAATATAAGGTGAGAAAATAAGGAATCGAAGAAGATTAAAACAATGAGCACAGAGCATCGTGAGGGGATTATATAAAAGTCTAAACAATTGAATACAACTTAGACAACTGAACTATACTCCACGCGGTCAACAATATAGCTATATTTATATATATATATATATATATATATATATATATATATATATATATATATATATATATATATATATATATATATATATATATATATATATATATATATATATATATATATATATATATATATATATATATNTATATATATATATATATATATATAT